AAAAAAAAAAAAAAAAAAAAAGATGAATTAGAGTATTAAAGGATGGAGACAAGAATGAAAAGGGGGAGAAGAGAACAAAATAGAGGAGAAAAGACAGAGAGAAGACACAGTGAAAAAGGCTAGGTACGAGAGGCTGAAAGAAAAGGAGGAAGAGTGATGGAGAAGACACACCTGAAGGGGAAGGAGGTGAACCAGCGTGGCCTTGCTAGTACCACACGCTGTGCATATGCCAAGTACACATCATGCAAACTTTGCTTCACATAACATCTACACCAATCCTGTGAAATAGATATTGCAATCCTGGCTTATAGATAAGTAAGTCTAAAAGAAGTTAAATAGCTTGCTTACAGTCACATAGCTCATAAGTTTAGAAACAAAACTGAAATCTGAATGCAACTCTGCCAACTCCAAAATTTATGGAGAGAATGAAATTAAGAAAATGGATATAAAGGAAAGTGTGGGAACGTTTATAAGATTTAAAGACGGCTATTTCGGAGACTGTGGGCTTCAGAATAAGTTACTCTGTGCTGCTGGTTAAGTTGCGGTCTCAGAACTCCACACCCTCCCTACTATACTCAGCTTTGTGATGTTAGTGATGAAATCCGCAAGCCACATTGTTGCTTTTCCAGCTCTCCATGTTAGGCCTTGCTCCAGCCAGCCAGCACCCCGTCCTCAGAGTTCTGAGTCAGATCCACTGGGACTATCCTCCTAGTTCAGAGACATCAGAATATGTGAAGAAAAAATATGACTGTCAGTTCTGCAGGACCCAGCCTCTAAATGTATACATTTTAATAACTCCTAACTCTTCCTTTGTTCCTTCAACCCTTGGGTCAGTAGCTGCTTCCTGTAGTTGCTACTTCCATGTTCAAATAATTGGCATGGATTTTGTCTCCTCATTAGGTGCTGACTGACAGAAAAGTTGTTACCAGGAGTGGTCCTGGAAAATCGACCTTCATAGATGGGAGTTGGGGATTGCTTTGGCAAAGTCCCTGAGCTTGAACCCAGTGTTAAACTCCTTGCCAATGAAAAATGAAATGCATCGCATGCAATAGCATCACCATTATTACTTTGGTTGTTTAAATAAAGTACCTATTGAAATAAGTGGCTTGGGAGCCCAAGTTGCTGCTGCTCTTGACTCTTAAGACAGTCATGATGATTATAAGCGTTGTTGTGGAGGATGTCTTCTGAGTGTACTGCGTGCTTTCAGAAAGAAAACTGGCGAATTCAAGACTTTAATATCTCATGTCAAGTCATAATCAGAGATCCAGAAAAGATTCAGCAGCAGCCCTAAAATAATCACTTGTTTCTTATAGCCACAGGACTGGTACTGTCCCATATTAAACACTAACTAAATTTAATTGTGTGAGTTGCACAATTGAAAGGTAAGTTGAATTCACAGCTTCAACAAGACTGTCATGTGAAAGTTAGGGGATTGACAAGGAAGAAGTTTTAGAACTGAAACCTGGCGTAAGGGTTTCCATCTGAACTCAAAGGGGGCTGAGGATCTTGAATCTCCAAGTCATTCTGAGCTTCTTTGACCAATAAAAATAGATATCCCCCCTGAGTCTGATGAGAACAGCTGTCCACTGCTGGAAAATCCTCTAATAATCTCACTTGGGAAAGGTACTTATATGGAATGCCTATCGTCCTGAATAGCCACCATAACTGTATCTTTTTCCTACTAGTCCTGTACTTCTGATCAAATTTCAGATGCTCCATAAGGCAAATATGATGTATCATCCAGGAAAAATAGCTCATACGTGAAAAAACATGCCATAGGCCAAAATCCAGAATACTGACAACACCAAATGCTGACAAGATTATGGAGCAGTAGGAACTCTCATTCATTGCTGGTGGGAATGGAAAATGGTACAGCCACTTTGCAAGGCAGTTTGGTGGTTTCTCACAAAACTAAACATATTCTTACCATACAATCCAGCAAGCATACAACTTGGTATATACCTTAAAAAGTTGAAAACATATGTACACTCAGAAACCTGCCTATGGATGTTTAAAGTAGCTTTATTCATAATTGTCCAAACTTGAAAACAACCAAGATGTCCTTCAGTAGGAGAATGGATAAACTGTGGTACATCCAGACAATGAAATATTATTTAGCACTGAAAAGAAATGAGTTATCAAGCCATGAAAAGACATAGATGAGATTTAAATACATATGACTAAATGAAAGAAGCCAATTTGAAAAGGCTGTATACTGTATGACTCCAAGTATATGACATTCTGAAAAAGTTAAAACTGTGAAGACTAAAAAAAATGAGTGGTTGCCAGGGGTTATGGGTAAAAGGGGTGGAAAAGGAACAACAAAAAGGGATTTGAGGGCAGTGAAACTATTTTGTGTGATACTGTAAGGTGGGTACAAATTATGTATTTATCTAAACCCATAAAGTGAACAACAACAAAAGTGAACCCAAATGAAAACTTGGACTCTGGGTGATTATGGGTCAATGTAGATTTATCAATTATAAAAAATGTATCACCCTAGCAGGGGATGTTGATAATAGGGGAAGCTACACATGTGTGAAAACAGGGGGTATATAGGAAACCTGTGTGCCTCCTGCTTGCTGTGAACCCAAAACTACTCTGGAAAATAAAGTGTATTTTTAAAAAGCATTATTGCATTATTATGTATTAGCAGAAACCTGAGGAATATGTGTAAGTGTATTTTTAGGGTAGTAAACCAAAGAAGATGGAATATAACACGGTCTCACTCTAATAATCTCACTTGGGGAAGTTGCGTGTAAGGAATGCCTAAATGATGTGATTACACTTAAAGATTCTGGATGTAAAATTGTTGTACAAAGAATTATTCGGTTTGTTGGCTTAAACTTGAAATCAATAATGGTCTATGTTTACTGATGCTCAAGTGTCAGGACTTTTTTGACATAATGTAAAGGAAAGGAATCAAAGACTTAAGGAGATAGGAATTTTGGAGAAGATTTGTCATATGACACTGCACACATACGCATCGCCAAGTAACTTCCCACAGGTCCCAGAGAAAACTGCCTTCACCCAAGGCTTTTATATTCATAGGGAACTCTTGCAGTAGCCTAGGTATGATGGTGGAGACACACTCTCTCTTTGATTTCAGTAGAGATAATAGGATCTCAGAGCAGTGGACGTTAAGTCACAAAACTTGACTACCAAAGTAAAAGTAAGTGCAGTTGGCCTGTTTGAATTGCATGGGTCCACTTACACACAGAATTTTTTCAACCAAACACTGATTGAGATACAGTATTCTCAAGATGCAAAACTTGCATATATGGAAGGCTGACTTTTTATAAACACTCCACAGGGCTGAGTGTGAGACTTGAGTATGAGCAGATTTTGTATATGCAGGAGACCTGGAACCAATCCTCCCCACCCAGTACACTGAGAGACAACCGTACCTTCACTGTAAAGAGAAACAGAGATATAGTGGGAGCCAGAATGCTTTGACCCACAGGGATCTGTCAGTAGTTAGTTTATTATGGTATCCTTGGAATGAAATTAAGGGGAAGCGTATTAAAATGTTGGTTGATATTTATACTCAGATCTTCGGGGGATTGTATTAGTTTCCAATT